CTCTGCAATTATACGTTCCATTAGTTTGGAGAAAACGGGGAGGAGAGTCATTGGACGGTAGTTCCAGGGCTCCAAACGATTACTACTTTGGTAAATAGAAGTGACCGGTCCTTGTTTCCACATTTCGGAACCTGCATTTCATCAAGACAATGTAGAAAGAACCGAGCTAAAAGTTCAGAAACGTTCATGGCCGCTGTCTTCAAGGCCTTCTGTTTGATGTCGTCCACGCCAGGTGAGCTGTGCATGCGCAATGACATTAGCGTTTTCATCACACTGGCTGCGGTGAACTATACGTGGCTTAACCCTGGTGGCGATGGAAGTAGTGTCAGAATCGGATGAAATCATGATTTACTCCGGAAACTTGGCGAAGCACGTTAGCTGCATCATGTGCGGTTTGCGCAAGATCGTCTGTTGCACGCAAAACCGGGATCCCGCGCTGCACTCTGCGGAGCTGGTTGACGTGTCTAAACAGCAACTTGAAATTTGCACTGAATTTCGCTGCTAAGTTATGTGGGTGCTTGCGTTTGTCTTCGCGGATCAACTAGACGCAGTGGTTTCGTTGAGTTGTGTAAGCACCCCAGGTCAGGTTACTTGGACAGACTTTCTAAGCGCGCCAGACTGAATCCCTTATGGCCATGCATTTTATAGTACAGTTCCTCAGGAACGAATTCACCTGCTTCGGACGAAGGACCTTACTTTCTGACGCATTTGCCACTAGCTCAGTGAATTGGGTGATGAATAACATCCAGGCGACATCGGGCGGCTTCTCGGATAGGAAAGACCAGTTTCTTGAACAAAGTTGGACAGTATATCGTAATCTGCAAGGACCTAGGTTTCCACGTTGTTCTCCCTGACGTACGCCGAGTAATAGATGTAACGCAAGAGCAACATCGCGTGATTGCTACTGCCAAGTGGTACCTCTATGGTCACGGTGTCGACCATTAGCTTCTAGTTAGAGAGCACATGGTCCAGAACAGAGGGTGTGTCATCCGTTCGAAATTGCGTGGGAGAGGTGACATGGTTGTATAGAGGCACATCGGCGATCACCTGTTGCAAATTCGCGTTGAATTGTTCGCTGTGCGATACTGTCACTTCGATTGTGTACAGGTTGAAGTCCCCCACCAGAAGGACGTGACTGTATGATCGCACCAGGACCCGTTTCATTGCAGAAGCTAGGCAATGATCTGTTTCCAAACTGGAGATTAGAAGGCGGTAAACTCTTGCTAGCAAACACACATCCCCACGTCTTGGGTGCATACGACAACAAAGAGCATCGGTGACTTTCTTTTCCGGGTCATCAATGACATCAACATACAGATGGGGTCGACAATACAGGAGCACTTCCCTCCTTTACTAGGTCGATCGTTTCGTTTGGAAGTCAGGCCGGGTAGTGCAATCGCAGCATCCGGTGATCATAACCAGGTCCCAAGGCGTGGAGGCCTGACGAGTACGAAGTTCGGTTAGCTTGTTGAGAAGACCTTGTGCATTGGTATACCAGCAGGTGAGGGCATCGGTGATCAGAAGCTTGTTTCTGAATGTTGGTTTCCGATCGGGGTCTATGCCGACCCTAGCTGGGTCGGCTGCCGGTCGTCCTTTTCTAGGACCGATGAAGCAGGCCCTAGAGCCAGTTCAGGTTGTTGTATAGAGCTTTCAGCAACAACAATAGGGTGGACATCCTGTCTTCCCTCAGCTGTCGGTGTGTTTTGGTATAGTTTCCTTTCTGAGCTACACGGTGACAGAATTGCATTAATAAGTTGCTTGCTCATTGTTACATTGTCTATCTGTGGCCCGGTGCCTATTGCCTTTATCCGTATTTCGGATGACAGCATTTTACGCTTTTTGTGCCACATTTTGATTACATATCTTGCCATCAGTTCGTAGTGCAATGCTACCTTCATCACTCGGGGACTACACCCTTTGTAGTTAGGTGATAACAGTAACCTTGACGCCTAAGTATCGATGACATTTTCGAGTGGGAGTACTTCACGAATAAAACGCCATTCATCCCAGTCATGCGCTTTGACCTATAGCTCGCTTTAGGGCACATAAAGTAGTGGTTGCTGACACGGAGAGGCGAATGCTCCGTTCTTTTCTATCATTTACCTCTCTGCCATAGAGTTGATCAGAGGAAAAGTTTGCTATTTGGTACTCGCGCGGAGTCTCGCTCTACACCGTGCTTACCGAGCCCATTTGGGCGTTACTGTCTGCAGCGACAGGGGTAGATTACTCAATCAGGGATCGTGCAGCTGAATCTCCGTCGCACGATCCACAGTGCGGCGCACAGAATCAAAGTAGTGGTAGTTTATGATGGGGTTTCCCAGGTTGGTTATATGGCTTCGAATGACGAGTAAGGTATGCATTGAAGAGACGCACAAGGTTACACACCTTCTGCAACTTACCTGTTTTGCAGTTCAGCGCAGAGAAATCCAAAATTATCACGATGTTCAAGAAGCAACTATTTGTTGGGGGCCTGCACACACAAACTATAGTTTTTCCGGGGAAGCATTCCAGTTGTGGTAACGGAAATATACAAGAGAATAATGCCGACTGATTAATGTCTAATTCCTTGTTCTCCTCAGGACGACAAGTAGGTTTTTCCACTTATTTACCTTATCCAGATTCCCAACGGTTAGGTCGGCTTAATGGTTAATTATGTCGTCTAAAATTGACAAAACTGGCAAAGGTGCGGCTACATTGTACAAGGATGACAAGGCTGGAGAGCCATACACTTACAAAATGCACATCATCTTCAACCCCGGTAAAGTTTAAAGCCTACGAAGTATTCAGTAGGCAATAGTCAGGGTTGCACCAGTGGTTTAAAAAACCAGGTAGAGGGTGAAGAATCTCGGCAATATCGCTACATCCTATTTAGAAGTTATTTTAATCAGAATCGCGAAGACTTCCAGTGTGATAAACAGATTATCGTGTCTGTCACACATGTCACGGGAACTAGCATTCTCTGTGTTTACTAACCATGGAGCGTTTGTCCGAAATTAAAAAACACAGTCCTACAGAATCTCAAGCCAACTATCGACAAGCTACTTTGTTCTGTCGAACCGACATTTTTAAGTAAGCGCTGGTAAGTGAAAAATCTCAGTTGAAAAATCTCACCGTTGAATTGGCAGAGTGTTCGTGACCCGAGAATAGCTATGGAAATAGGGCAGCGCGACATTAGACACACGACCCAGTATAGCGTCCAGGTTAGTATTATTAGCTAAAATGATTAAAGGGGGACGGTAGGTCCTCTTTTACATTTGTAAGACGTTGAAATATTAATGGTAGTAGGGTAAATTTTTGCAGTATTCCACTTAGGAAGTTATCACACATTTCTGGAAGAATACCCCTCACCAGAGCGAGTAAAATGCACCAAACTGTCAAATTCTGGTCCGCTTCCAGCTTCTGTTACTCCAGTTTGATTAGTTGCTTCCATATACTGGTTACCGTGACTAACAAGTCGTACGCTTCCCATTTACTTTAGAAGAGTTAAGCAACCGACAGAGCTTCAGAACACTAATGTACAGTCCTATCACCTCCAAATTCAACCAGTATAAAGACACCGTAGATTGTGCACCTCCTTCATGAAGACCGCAGTAAAATTTCGTCGTACTTTTTAAACAACAACAGGAAGTATCATGAATTGATTAGAACAACTGCAATTACCCTTGCATAGCTAAAGTAAATCTCCTCTCGAATGTGGAAGTGCATCATCGACATTGAATCGAAGCACTTGTCGAGGACGTAATCCACTTCCCGTTTCACTTGATTTCCATTGGGTATCCTTCTGACCAAACGTTCAATAACCTGCGCAGAAGGGTGAAAAGTATTGTGAAGATTTTGAATTTTAATGTTCGAGTTACCTTTCTGCAGTTTCGTCAAATCAAACAATCTAACCTGATACACCCTCGATGCTAGCTTTAGACGTAGATGAACTCAAACGAACTGTGCTGTGATTCAACCACTCTCACTGACATACGTCAGCAGAAAAATACCACAAAGAGCTTTAGAACTGCTTGTTCACTTGCGCGTCAACTCAATTTAAACAGCTTTATCTGGACAAGTAATCACACAATTCACCAGCAGGCAGATGTCCGGTTTGTTTGCATGGGTCCAGGAACCCTGAGTAAATGGTTAGGTAAACGAGAGACTTAAAATCAAAGAGACGCTTTGAACTTACGTGAAATAATGGTGATTTGGCAGGAAAAGTATTCTATACCAATCGTGTCAAACAGCTGTTTTCATTAAAACAACCCAGATACTCGTGTGGTTGTGAGATTCGTGAGTCGAACGTTTAAATGAACAGCTGTCGTAACTGCTATTGAGTACACTGCCACCAAATGCGGATCAATGAACAATGAAGAATGATTTATCACGGGATAAAAGCAAGTGCTTGACACATCCCGTAGGATTGTTGAGGTGAATATGATGAAATCATAACATATCTGGGTCATCTACCGGACGTCTGTCGAGATGAATAGTTTGATAATAAACATCTGCGTAAAATTTAAAATCAAATCTAGGGTAAACGTTCGGAAAGACACTGCGATGCAGTGATGGTTGATGTAAGGAGTGAGAAAAGTAAAATATGGTCGCTCACTTGGGTGCATTTGATACATAAGTCTTGTTGAAAAGCATGCTTCGAGTAATCCACAATAGAGGAGTTTAGGTAACAAAATGCTGGGAGCTGAGAGCAATATCTAATCGTTTTTTGAAAACTTCCCAGGTAGGAGAGGATACAACTGAGTCCGGGAATGCGTCCCAGGGTTGGCAAACCCGAAGAGAAAAGTAATTCAGTCGACACTCTAGATGACTATATTGCTCCTTCAACTTGAAGCAGTTACCCCTGCTCGTATTAGTAGCGGTATGCTACAACATTTTCTTTAGAAAAATATGTTAGTAATTAGTAAGCCCGGTAGCTTAAGGGAGCAAAACTACTAATTAATTGAAACCGAAAAACCAACACGCATTGGTATGTTAACCGTGCGATCCACAAGCACACACAATTTGACTCCGTTACACCGCGTCACAATAAAATGATTTAAATAATTTTATGCATTATCAAATCGATTTGTTTTATGATACCATGGAGCGAGAAGTAACCGAATTCACAAGAGCGTTCCATGATGCACAAAGGATGGAAGGAAATGTTTCAACCTATGATTTTTTGACCATCTTTAGCATTTGAACAACAGGAGCGAACCATTTGACCGCTCTGCGTTGTTCTACGTGCATAGTTTCTACATATGTTAAGGCTTTTCAAAGATATTTTGTGGCTTTTAATATTTTTGGTCGCATTTAATAACCGTGAATTGACTTAGAAATCTGCTATAGATTTTGAGAAAATTACTGTCGTGTTCGTATTCCTGAGAAGGCATGCAGGCTGTCACAATGAGCGCTTTCCTCTAGGTCGGTTTTTGTTTTCCTACTCAGATACCGCTTTTATTTCTGACAAAAAGAAAGCTTAGGGACATTTATTCACAATGCCTAATAAGGGATCCACAGCTAAGTTACTACAAGAACTTACGGTTGCCAATTACAACGAGTCAAGAAAGGAGGACGATTATCGTGGTTCGATGAACAATGAACATTGATTTATAATGGGTAAAAAGGAACAGGGGCTTGACATGTCCCGTAGGGTGGTTGGAGTGGGAAAAGTTAGATCAAGGGAAAATGGAATCGTCGGTTCGGGCATTCCAGATTTAACCCCACTGCCGTATATAGGAAGCTTGAAATTAGAATGTGCGTACACAAAGCCATAAAGGGTGGTTATTGAGCACGTAATAAGCGAGAGAAAAGTAAAAAAAGCAAAGCAAGGACAAAGCTTACTCGCGTGCAGCTATCTCTCGTCGACGGGATACAGAAATTCAGTTTATACAGTAGTAACGTTTATCAAATAGTGTGCAAGGGGTTTGGAGCATGTCGTTCTCGAGTAGGGTTATGACACCGTCCACTATCTGTTGTGCTTTAGTGCCAGCATCTGATGGTCATGGGCTACAGCACGTAGTGTAGATGTGACAGAGTATCGTCAAGATGTTTTTGAAAAGGGATAGGGTGGGAGCCTTAAGTACATGTTCCAGGAGGGCTTTCCAAGGCTATGACACTCGAAGCGAGAAATAATTTCCCCGACGTTCCAGGCGGCTGTACTGCGTGACAAGCTCAAGCCGATGACCGCTTAGCGAAGTGTTTTGACTGAGTATTAGAAGGGAATGGCATGGGTGGTTGGGGTTTCTCAGGATCTGGTGCACCATTATGAGATCGCTCCTTAGACGCCGATAACTTTCACTGTATATTTTGAGAGTCTTCAGCCTGAGTTGGGTAGGGGAGGCTGGTCAAACCTCTGACGCTCTTCTTTGCCTACGTTGTGCAGTATCGAGCGCGGTGAGATGGTGCTTGAGCCAGGGTTGCCACGCTTGGATAGCGTATTCCGCGTGCGGCCTCACGTACGCACTAAGCATTTTTGGAAAGATCGAAGGGTCAAACTTCCCGAAGGCTCTGCGAAGAAGGCCGAGGTACTGGTTCGCTTTCTTAGCTGCCTTTTCAGTCTGCCTCGAGAAACCGAGGTCATCTTGAACTATCACGTCGAGATCGCACTCGTGAGAAGCCCGCTGTAGAATTTGTAGCCCTAGGCGGTACTTGTGCATACTCTTATGCCTTATGCTGAGGACGTTGCACTTGGTGACGCTGAAATGAAGCATGTTCTCGCTGAACCATGTGTACACTTTGTCCTGTTCCTCCTGTAACGCTGTGTGATCCTCCACAGCAGCTATAGTACGCTATACCTTTAGATCATCAGCTAAAAGTAAATAGTTAGCAGATAGCATGCTCGCGAGATCATTTATGAAAACCATGACCAGGCGGGGTCCAACTACCGAACCCTGAAGTACGCCGCACTGATGATGATGAATCCGCAGAAGGTCGCGGCATCTCTAATAGTCAAAGTTGTGACAGTGACACTCCTTATGAAGACAGTGGTGACGGCGGAAAACATGAAATTGAATCAGCCGTGATTGCATCATCCGACGAAGTTCAAGTACCAAAGATGGTACATCCTTGTCTCCAATAGAGTTCCAGACAAGTACTGTGCTAGGATGCCCCACAAAATGTTTTCAAGGCAAGACCATGATCAAATCCCTACGCTGAGAAACGTGTGAAAGATTGGGAGTCCTCCAGCGCTTTTGACGTAATACTTGTATCCAAGATGCTGAGACAAACGCAAGTATGTATTGAAGTTGGAGCCAAGAGTTTTAGGTGTCAGTCGTCAGTATCACAACTGGAACATAAGTGTTCCTGATCTGCGCACTTTTATTGATCAACTTTACATCAGAAGCTTAAGGGGTTGAAGAAGATGCGGTTAAATAAAGAAGGATTTGTCTGTTTACAGGGAAGCAAATGACAAGCACAACTTCAAGCAAATAATCGGCTTCCTTTGTTTTGATATACGTACTACTGGAGATGAAAGACTACAGACTGACAAGTTTCCAGTGATATCCAAATTCTGGTATGCATTTATTCGCAACTCAACGCTGTTATATACCAGCGCAGAACTTCTCCGTCGATGGCGATTGTGTCCCATTAAAACCCTCTAGCGTTTCCTTCAGTACAAAGCCAATAAACCTGCTAAGTTTGGTATCAAGTTGTGACTTCTGGCAAAAGTGGATATCAGATATCTCGTGAAACTTATGTTACCCTTAGTTGGAAAATGTTACATTGTCCCAGGTTTAAAGCAGTTAGTTCCGTTCAACAATTTGAAAAGCACGGAAAGAAGTCGAAGGCTGGTAGATGCATGCATTTGTCACAGGTGACAAGTTGTTCACAGCTGCAACATTTAGGAGTAATGTTTGGTGACATCCGGTTCCGGATTTGCCTGTCACTGTGGCCTCCACAGGACGCCTGCGCCTACGGAGGGACCACCCACAGGTCCAACCAGTGTAAACGCGAAGGAATAAGACCGGGAAGCATGTGGATGGCAGCCACTTTTCATCAGCGGAGACGGCTCACATTCCTTCACAGGCAAACACAAACACGCTGTATGTGGAAAACAAGCGCACACAAGGCGGTGGTTGGACGGTAGTCCGTTTCACACTGGGTGCATGGAACCACTCTACGAGCCTAGCATGGCCACCGTGCACCCCGACCCCATACAGTAACAGCTAACTGTCGGCGGGAGTCAGTATAGATGAGATAGTGGGTAATGGACAGGTAGGCACCTTATCAACATGCACTTCAAGCACAGCCACACCGGGTACGTCGAACAATAGCCGGTCACTTGAAATGAGATAAAAAAAAGCATATATATCGAATAAGCATCCAGAAATGTTGACATAAATGTACTCTACACGAGCACATATGATAAGTTTGTTAGCAACAACTCCGCGATAAGTGCAAGATGTCAAAAAATATAGTAAAAAAACCACAAATGTGAAAATTTTAGCGAACTTATCCACAATTTGCTTAAGCGACGTGAGCAATACTTTCCAAGAAAAGTACTAACACGCTGGGAATTATTCGAGCTAATGTACAGGAAGTTCGAACGTGTTTGAAGCAAGGCAACAGAAAGCCGTTCATTTTTGCTTATTATAAAGGATAAAAATAAGCACATGCTGACATACTATAACAAAAAATCAGAACGTTTGCAAGTAGTATGGGGATTTATTGGATTTTTGTTGTTTCATCGCAGTCAGACACAGGCAGACAAACACCACACCTCCAGGAAAGCGCTAGACGGCCGTTTCGTCCTATTTGGACTCGTCAGTAGCGTACGCACGCTGAATCCTGCCGCGTTCGAACCCACGACCTTATTCTTGCGAGCCGACAACATGTGCCAGTGGGCTATGAGCAACGGCGGCGCACCAACTTGACTGATATCCAACTGCAATATAGTACGGCTCATCCTCCACTGTCGTGCAGGTTATGAAAGCGCAGAAAACAGGGCTGGCCCCCAGAGCAACAACTTCTTTTGCAAGCCATCACCAATCGAGATGCCATGTAAGCTGTTAAGGCATCCATTGGTTATGACTGTTCGCCGCCGTTAACTACGGCTCAGTGGCATAACTTGCTGACTCAAGGTCATGGGTTCGAATCCATTAGAATTCTGTGGGTGCGCGCTACTGACGAGTTCCAATAGGACGAACCGGCCGTCCAGCGCTTTCCTGGAGGTGTGGTGGCTGTCTGTCTGAGTCAAGCTGCGATGAATCTTCACATAAATCAGTGCATGTGCTCTGTATGTGTTAAAATAGCTTGCGGCTCATGTGGACAAATTGAGTTATCACCTGTATCAAGTACAAAGCCGAATAAGTACACGCTAATATTTTCGCCTCACAGATTTTTAAAGTGCAATACAATGATTTTGCAGTTACAAATATTTTGGACATTGTGTTTGACTTAGGTAATCAGAAGAAGTCAGAAATAGGTTGGATTCAATAAATACAGTAATGCAGTCATTTTGACCGCTCTCAGTCGCTTTAGGTAGAATGGTGGAGCAGGTTTTACAGTGTTAAATGATGACATAGTGTAGTTTCGTTGCTGATTTTCAATTATGCACGACGTGCGTAGTTGGGATCTTCGTGGATCTGATATGTCATAGTAAGATCAGCTCGAAGACGTCAACCTTGTGTACTAGGAACTCGTAAGACTTAATCCGAATCAGAAAGAGGGATGAAGAAAGTCACTGCTATTTTATTAGTTGTTTGTCCTGGAATCTCAGTGGCGTCATACTTTTGCCAAGGCTGGCTTATCTGGGTATCGTATTCCACACAGGGTAACGCGCAGGTGCTGAGAATGTTCAAAAAGATGATCAAATCAAGGCAACCAAACACCGTCCGTAGGAGACCTAAGTTCTGAATGGTTTTTCATGCTATATTTTTCTGTCTACATTGATCAGCCGTGTGAATCCTATCCGATGGCCGTAACCATTTTCATTAGAAATGCGCTGTCAAAGATTCGTATGCTTCAAGCTCTCAACCTAACTGGTATGCTCCCACTGGGACCCACCCATTGATCGGATTACATAGGTTTTTGAGTGATGGAACAATTCAATGAAGATTGTCAACCAAAGTAAAAATCCTGTTTTCTTCTTCATAATCACCAGCCCGATGAGTGGATCAATGTATCAGTTAGCTTTTCTTGCTGTGGTGAATGGTAAGTCAGTCAGGTGACATATAATTCGGTCCAGCGCAGTTTTGCCAACAAATATAATTTCCTTTTCGCATGATAAGAGGCGTTTAGTTATCAGGAGTTCACTATCGTCTCTATTAGCCCAAGTAACTGAACGTAGCGTATTGAGTCATCAAGCGCTAGTCGTCACACTGTCTGACCCAAACCAGTAAGCTTTTGTTTAACAATGAAAAATGACTCCTACAGAGAGGTTTGTTTAAGTGAGCTATAAGGGCATTTCCCGATATCGCGCAGCAGCCTGAGTTAAAAATCACTGGCAGCATGTCGATTGAACTAGGCCAGCTGAACTTTTCTCACAGCTTTTACACCAATGGTGAACGACCGTCAGCAACAAGTTGGAATAACACGTACGAATAATATTATACTTTTTGCCTCTCAACTGACACTTTCCGCTGGAATTCATTAACACTAATTTCCGTGAGCCACAGGTCTTTAATCCTTCAGCATGAATTCATAAACATTGTAGTCGTTGCCATTCCATTCCTGTTTAATCTTTCATTTCCAACTGAGTTGCGTTCATTCATTCCAGATAAATAGGTAGATAGATAGATAAAAGTTCCCTGCGCATCTTCTTCCGCAAGTTACCAGATATATTCTTACATGTTATGGACATAAATGTCTAATGAAATTGAGGTTTCAGTGACTATAGACTGGAGCGTATTCTACCACTGGGTAGAGAACTACATCGAGGAGTTGGCTCCCACGATTCTTCTACGCATCGGCTAATGCGTCCTACTAAATGGACATAGCCTAGGAAGCGTTTACTGACACGTTGGACTTATGTTTGAGCCTAGGTGTGACAAACCAACATCAGACCATTTGGGTATTCATGTGCATCCCATATCTATTTGTTCGAAAGCATGATAAAGTAATTCAATAAAGTTTGTTTCGTATGAAATGCATACACATTACACACTGTAAACACTGAGTGGCCCTTTCTTAAAGGTGTCTGAGAAAATGCAAGATTAGTTTTTTACTGACAGATGTTAGTCGTTCTGCTAACTGATTATTGTGGCAGGTACCGTTAAGACAACATTTGATGTGATTTGCGACTGTCAAGCAACTTGTGCTAACTAGCGACCTTTTAAGGATTGCTTGCGACGTAGGACTGGCCGTAGTTGAATATAGCATTCGCAAGTACAGATAAGCAGCCGTTACGATGTGTGTATCATTTTCGTTCTTAACATTTTAGAGCGACTGTGCACACGAGGAAGAATCATCGATTTAAAGCGTAAATTTCCATAACTGCTTATACTCACATCGAATTCACCCTTGGTGTATTTGGCATCCCGTAAAGAGATACGTTCTTCCTCGTCCACTCGGTAACCAAAAGAGAATCCGACCAAATGACAATACACCAGACCAGCTATGGTCATCGCGAGAGAAGTACGCTCCCTTCCGGTTTCACAGAAGAAAATCAGGTTTGTCGATGCTATGCGATCCAATGTGGCAGCGCTTGCGCTTGGCACGTGCCACTCGCTGGATCCTTGACCGGATGTACTTTGTCTTTTTGTGGTCACGTGACGCCGGCCCACTCCAGCAGACGCGTCAACCAGCGATTGTGCTGTGATTGTGCTTGTGAGCAGACCTCGAGCATTGTTCACCACCAAACGAAGGATCTGATCAAATATCTAAAAGGCATGGAAAATTATATGCTGTCGTTCCCCGACCACAAAATGTTGGTACCCACCAGCGAACGGATTGACTGATGAATAAATAAAGGTTTAACAATAGATTCTGTGCTCTATGTTGGTGGCACTGCCTACATAATGACATGTGGGTGTGGCTTGTACAGTTCTTTAAGCCACCGCTGCTGCTGATTAGTCTGATTAATCCATGTCCCGGCTCTCACTTAAATGGTCAGTGATCTAAGTGTGCACAAGTGGGCACAAGGAACGAACCAGACAACCAATCAAAAACAATCCTGACCGATTCCTTTATTGGACGAAGGAAGAGAGTCTGTCCGTTCAATCGATCCTGCTGATTGGTTAGCCTTTAATGAGCTCTGCTATTTGCTCGGCTGAATCAAGAGAGGGACCTCATTGACTGAGGAAC